GATAGGAAATTTCCAGAGTGCCAGTGAGAAACTGTGAACATTGGAGCTAAATCGTGTCAGGTGTTGTGAAGAATATATCCACTGAAGATAATGGGATATGGTCGGACAGTATTAAGGATTGACTGAAGCTAAACTTGTATACTGTGAGGCGAAGACTCAGTAATCTAGTTGTTGAGCGTTCGATCACGAGACCGAAGACCGTGGGTTCGATCCCTAGTGGTGGTGTCGTGGATGGATATTGCTGAGATATTGATTTATCGAGTGGATCGGTGTTATTGTCTAATAATTGTATTCGATTTCATTAATCTTTCGAATAATAACTATTTTGAACCTACTTGCTATTGTTTGTTCACGTATAATATCACATATGAATGCACACTTATTGAGAGAACAATTAAATATTTTTTGACATAGGCTTAATTATTTCGAATAAGTCAACTTGACATACGGGTAGAATGACTTAATCATCTACCTACAGAATTGCATCTGTATTATAATTTATCATTTTCATTGTAATCAGTATACTTTAAATAATATGTAACATCTTTGACTTCATAATGTTATTCTTTTTAAGGTTATTATATTTTCTCTACCTTTGGGTTTGTCAATGTTGTAATATACCAATTCCGTTGTATGACAGAAAGTTCAGTTAAAATTCGTGTTCATTCGTATTACTTTAATTTATTATATATCTTCAGTAATTGCAAAGGTCTCTTGGGCCAAATCAGAGTAAATTTATTTTTTATAGGTCGAATTTATGAATAAAAAACTAATTTTTACACATGAGACAGTTAATAAATAGTAGAGTTGAGTGCACTTTACTACTTGAAATTCACTAGTGTCGAAATATGACAAGGAACGTTCTCGATTAAATCATGAAATTCAAGAACCTACTTGATACTTCTCAGGAATTCTGAGCTGTTAATCAAATCTACTCGTCCACATTTCCCATAGAGTATTCTAAGAATTACTAGTTTCACAAACCAGGTTTGTTGTGCCTGGTCCTATACAAGTTTTATGCTTCCAGGAATTCATACTTAATTTGTTATATTTCTGAAATAGGGATGATTTCCGAAGGATTAAATGTCTGTTCCCATTTCGTTTTGATGAGTCCTTGTGTGATTCCACATTCATAATTAATATGGTTGAATATATCGTTTATATTTGTTGATTGTATTGTAGGGAGTTGGACTATCATTCATGTTATTATTTTGGCTTACCTGTGGAACTTGCATCTTCCATTTTCACCAGTTTCTAATTTGGAAAATTTACAGGTAAAGTAATTCATATAGAGAGATGATTTAGAATGGGTTTGCTTCACTAATGACAAGGAGTTACGGATTTTGTAATTAAAAGTTTCTGTATATTCAATTATGTGACTGGATGTAAAGGATAGTTTATTGCGCATTTCGGAGAAAAAGATTAAATTAAGTTTGGGTCTTCTCTTCCATAAAGGGTCGAGCTCAAGTTTACTACATCTAGAATTATAATTCAAGGTACAATCATTTCCAAGAATCCGAAGTGTAAATTGTCGCTGTACTGATTCCAACCTTAATTTATCATTTATGCGCAAACTACTAAGAATAAACGTGCAATATTCTAGGAGTAGTTGAATACATACTTTGTACATCTAAATACATGACTCGTTGTTATGAAGGTTTCGAGTTATGCAACCTATAAGACATTAAAACTTGAGGTCTGTTTCAATACTTGTACTGTAAATGACAAATCGTAGGAGTACTCAAGTTTCTCTGTTTTCTCCATGTCTAGTTAATACAATAAACTTTCGAGTATGTGAAACTTACAAAAAGTTTATTTATAAACTTCATGTACACAAAATTTTAGAATTAGCAAAACATAAACAACACTGTCTTCATAGAATATCATTTTTAAACAAGATTTATTGACTTCAGTGTAAAAAAGAGATTTTATTCATTTTACTCAATCGTCTGAATGTCTCACAACATTTATACAACAAGAACTGCTACTACTACCTGTTCAAAAACAAGAACAGTACAATTTTTCAATATTAATATAAAACACAACATACTTGTCTAAACTTATTTTATACTATAACCGTTCGATAATTTTAGATTTGTTTATTTCTTTTAGTCAGTTGATAATGTATTACTGATTGTTAGAAAATAAATGTGCTCATAATTATTTAATCATTAGTTAAGACATTAATTGAATAACAATAATGTACATATCTGTCGATATTAGTCTGCCGTGGGTAATTTTGAATTCTTTTCTTAGGCATATTAAGTAACATGATATCACTGATATACAGGTAAATGCTTATACTACTTAATTGTAAATAAATGCTTTTATAGCGTTGTATGAGAATCAACTTAGAATGTAGTCAAACATTTAAACTGTAGTTATTAGTTGATATCAGCTACATGTTAATTGTATACCAGTTGTATACATTTGTCGGTGCTCTTTCTGAGTAAATAAATTGAATAACATTCCACATCATTAGTTATTATGTGTAAATTAACATTGGTTATCGTAACATGATTTTAAAGCTTTCTAAAATAAACTTTGAGTGTTTATGTTAACAAATATAGTCTTCCTATATCCAGTTAATATTAACAGTATCAATGCTTGAGTGGATATCTACCTTCACTTATAGGTTAAAGTTCATCGTGTATTCAAACGAGTATACGATACAATGTGAATGGATGTTTCCTAATTCGATGAACCAATAACTAGTGAGATTTAGAAACGATATACAAGAATAAAAAAAATGTTTACAAAACTTAAAATAGGTTGAGTTTAAAAAAAGTTATTGAGGCAAAACGAATACTAATCCTTTCAATAATAAATGATGCATAAATGAAAACCTGAAACTTGGCCACACGATATAATTATGTTTACAAGTTGAAGAAATGGTAGATTTCCAGGGAAACGTAAACATTTTCTTACATTTATTCTCATTTTTGTGGCGTCACAATAACAAATTAGTTAGTTATTTTAATAGAAAATGTTTGCGTAGTCATGTAATAGAAGTAATTTTTATCAAAAAGCGCTTTATAATGACTCTAACCACATTGTTATTTGTAGGTCGATTTTAAAATATAATTAACATATTCGTCTGTTAGCTACGTAATAGTTTACTTTGGGCGTAAAAGTAAATTCAGGCTACTGGAAAATGCACAAAGAATGCATTTTGCTTGATCAATACTGTTCACTTATAAGAGACAATATTAGGTAAATTTAGTGACAGTAAAATTCGTGTTATGCTGTGCTAACTCATAAAAATGTTTCCTTCTGTTAAATTCACATATGAAAAAAATGTTCCACACGAAAACGTTGTTACTGAAATATGATTTAAGTAGTACTGTGATTTTACACTATTGGAAGGCTACATTTTATGTAGTGTAAATTAATTTACTATAAACAAAAAATTCACCCAATAAAATCAAATGGATTCCTTTTAGTCTGGAAATCTTGTTGTTATAACTTTTTTCTAAATTATCAACAGGAAGGTAATCCCCATTATCACTTAAACACAAAAATATACTTTCGAATATGGAAAGTCAAATGTAGGTGACATGAGGTATCTATTTCACTCCAAAATAAATGGAATTCACTACACGAAAGAAACCTTAATCTAGCAAGTTATTATATCTACAAATCATATAAAAGCCAACAATGCTCCCTTATATGAACGTTTGAAATTTGATTTAAACTTAAGGTCGGGTGATTGAGAAATAATTTCCTAGATTCTTTCAGATTGGTTTAAATCATTCAAGTTCGTTGTTTTAATAAGATCAATGTTCACAAGAGACTCAGGCTTATTCACTATCCACATTTATTTTCAATAATTTTTCTCAAAGATGTGTAATAAAAGCACTAAAGTCAACATCCACTCATTAAAAATACCGGACATTTCGATTAGTTAACAATCTCTCACTCCCTTCCAGAAACTAAATGAATCACAATGTAAACCGTTGAATTTCTTCAAAATGTTTATTAAATATGTGTAAAGGTATAAAAGGAAAAAAAGTGGAATCTTATTTATTAACGCGGAAAAAATTGTGCAATCACTTATGAAAATATGTAATGTATGTAACTGTGCACGTATGTATTCGTGTGTGCCTCTTTGTGTGTATTTGTTTAAAAGAAAACATATTTTTTCGTTTAATAACTTTGTGATTTCGTAAAAGCAAAAAAATACGAAGCTAACCAAACCACAGTAACCAAGATGCAAAAAAGAAACAGCGAAAAAACACCGAAACCTATGAAAAAAAATTAATAAGGTATTCATTTGTAATTGAAATTATAATTCATCGTAAATGGAACAACGAATTTCTCCTCCTCATACAAATGTAAAGCGAGGTGGCAATAGGGCGTTTGATAAAGGTGATCCAAAGGAATGAATAAAATGAAGAAGTGACTCATTGTCTAGTCTCTCCTGTTAATTACAAGTCAACTAAAAGATTAATCAGTTAAATGAAATTTGAGACAGAAGATATCTAACATTATTTAAAAAAAGTTGATACTTGGGGAAAAAAATGCATATCACTCTATCATAACTTTGTATGCTTACAGACTTTCGCTTTAAACATGACCAGCTAAGGAACAACAGACAATTACAATATCAATCAATAATCTGTTGTCAATATGATGGCAAACAATAGACATGATTAACTAATAAGTGGATTATAGGATTTGTTAATTACAAAGATATGTAATAAAACTCAAGATATCAATAGTTTATAAGGAAAAGAGAATGTAAATCAATATCACATAGTAGATTATACAGAATCGAAACACAATTAAGTTAATTAAATTCAATAGATTGTCTAAGAATGCATTATTTTTATCACCGAAATTGTGGTAAAAGAAAAAAGCTGAAAAATATTTTGTTCACTGGAACAATAGAATAGAAAAACAAATCTATTAAAATGATTGGACAGGAATGCGATATTCATTTGCCAAATAAACGCAACATTAACTGGATATAAATATTGAACAAATATATATATATATATATATATATATATATATATATATGATAAAAGTTGGAAACAGACAAAGAAACCATTTGTCTTCTGAACAAATAATTAAAACTAAAGATTACTGATAATAATATACAGTATTAACAAGTAGTTATAGACAATTGAATATTTTAAGTGAGAATAGATATCAATGATGGGATTTTCAAATGTTGATGTGTAGAAAATTTCTCATTTCATTGTTTGAATTGATTGAAATTATTTTTGTTTTCTACAAATAATTTATCAAGATTGGCCTGTTATAGCAGTAGAATCCTTGAGCAAATTTTCAGCATGGTTGCCTATAATAGGTGAATCAAAACAAAAGAAAAAAAATTTAATTGAATTCTTTCGGAAATCGATAGAGAATAATTTTAGGCTGGAAAATATCATTGATAATTGCTATGTTTGAAGCGATTACAAGTTCACTTAGTCTGCGAACGGAACAAAGACTTTATGACCAAAGATCAATAAGCTAGATATTCTGATGCGTCCCAGCCCCGCTAACTAGAGAGAGAGGTCGACGTTCAAACGGGGAAATATATTCCGCAAACAGTCAGAAGCACGAGCGATCCCAACCAGTCTAGTCGGAAATACACTCATTTATATATTGATTTGTACACTCATTTTTTTATTAAGAATCAGAATAACAGACATGAATAATATTTCATACAAGAATATCATATGTTATACAGAATAAAATGTCATAGAGGAAGACGAAACAAGTACTATACTAAGTGGTCGTCAAATTGAATTAAACGGAATTAATGTTGAATAAAAATCATAATGAAGAAATCAATCAAATTTTGACCTTCCATCCCGTCATAAGAATAATTCCTTTAAAATGTACGTTTGCTTTTATGTGACCATGTTTGATGGAGATCAGTAAGGAATGATAAGTATATATACGTACTCTACAATAAGGGTATGCGCCCACGGAAACGTGCTAAAAGGGACACATATCAACAGCTAGTATTAAAATGGTACATTTTATTTGTGCACTTAATAATCTTCTTTACACTGACTCTGTTCTGGACTGAACGGGCTGGGCTAGGCGAGAAGTTGGTATATAGAAGACCATTAAGGACTCAGGATTGAATTTAGGCTGCTCATGCTGGTTAATGCGTCATTGGTTTGGTACAGGGACAAGACCAAATGAGTCAGTGTTCTGATTAGCGATTTTGTCACTTGATATTCGACAGGTCATAGGACATAACAGACAGTCTACACAAACCCAAGGTACCAAAATAAATCACCCAAACGGTTGTCTATTTCAAGGTTAACCATATGAATACTATAGAAGCAATAAATAGGAAATTATGATGAAAGTCATGTGAAAAAAGATTACATATTAATCTCTGAAAACTGAGGTCACCATGATGAAACAAGGTTGATAACTGTTTTTTTTTGAATACATTAATTTGATTAAAATCTTTTAAAAACAATGGCTTCAGAAAAGTTCAATAAAGTGTTAATCTTTTGTATTTCCGGATACTCTGAGTGATTTTTGACGCGTTAATATCATTTCCACTGTCAAACAATTGACATAAAATGTTTATAAATAGTTTAAAAGAAATCAAATTAACTTGTTAATAATTCTGATGGAGTTTTGTTCTGTGAGCTGGGTGCTTTGATCGTGGAGCTTTCATCATTCTTCTGAACGACATCATCAGCACAAAATTCAGGTAGAAGTGAAGTGTCCGAATATCTTCACATATGTCTCACAGCTTATCCTGCAGACCTCGATGTTGATTGGTTCTTGTTGACCTTAAATCTATCATTGTTTACTTCTTTATTTTGCTTCTATCTCCCATTGGTTTGATTAATAATTAATATAAGAACTAGTAATGTTCTGTTAAGATCAAATGAATCACTTTTAAGATAACTCTGATTTATACACAAATCAGTCTCGTATACAAAACTTACGATGAAAGACCTTGAGAATAGTTTCACATACAAATTGAAATTGACCCTAAATTCAAAAAAGAAATAAAAAAAGAAAATTATATAAGATTATCTGTATTGAGTTGATTTTAAAAGAAAAGTTCATTGAATCAATTGAAGTGATGTAGTCCTAATTTAAATTTCACAGATTGAAATCATGAGTCAATTGAAGCTAGACCACCATGGAAAACCTGGGACCACTGGACGGCCGTCTCGTCCTAGTATGGGAATCCTCATCAGTGCGCATCCACGATCCCGCACCCTGCGAGATTCGAACCCAGGACCTACCAGTCTCGCGCCAGACACTTAAACAACTAGACCACTGAGCCGGCATCCAATGGTGTTAATGTCTAACTTCAACCAATCCATGAAGTTGCGCCACCGTACACCATTGTCTTCAGTGAGTTGATAACTCACAACAGACCTGGTTGAACTCCACTGGTAACGGCTTTTCACTAGAACTCCAGGAGTATCTCTTGAAGTCAATCACTAGTGAGCAGATGATTATTATCAGAAGGGGTTTGTGGAGATTTTAGAAATTTCACAGATTGCTGAGGAGTCCCATACTAGGACGAAACGGCCGTCCAGTGCTTTCAGGTTTTCCATGGTAGTCTAGCTTCAATTGACTCATGATTTCAATTTGTGAAATTTCTAAAATCTCCACAAACCCTTTCTGACGAATTTAAATTGTTTAAAATGATCTTTATAGTTTTCCTTAAAATTGATAAATTAAGTTGATATGAATTTCTAATTATGTAATGTTGTTAAACTGTAAACATTTAAGTCAAAAAATATTTGTGGTGTATATTTCATAAGTAATTTTTTATCATGAATTGACATCAATAAATAGAGGGGATAAAATGACATTATTTAGCATGGAATAATTGTTTAGTTCTAATTTGAACAGTTAACAACATCAAAACAAGATCAAGTTAAGACGTTTAATGTATTTATCTTTAGATTAGTAAGCTGGAGTTAAAACTATCATTTAAACCGTTGATCAATATCCATAAAATTTTACACTGACATGAGTTGATAAAGAAAGTTGACTGATAAAATTCTGAACAAGTATTTAAACAACTATCTTTTCAAGTTATATTCAGTTATGTTTTGTAATTTGACGATTTTTAACCTATTACTAATAGATTTTATCGAAAGATCCTCGGTATCAAACTTGAAAACATGAGTTGACGATTACTTACTATTGAAACAGGTCATTACATTCCTTAATCTGATTAGATTTCTAAACTAAAGTCTTGTAATGAAAGTTTTTGGCTTCCAGTAGACAACAAATACACTGTGAAGACGGAGTTTATCTGCAAAAATATGATGTATTTGCGCTATACATTTCGAACAATGTGGTCACACATATACTTGTCAAGGCATTTTTATATGAAAATTAATAAAGGTTAATTAAATGAAAGTTCAAGTAAAAATAACAAAGGGGAAAGAAATAATAAGAAATTGTCCCGTTATCCTAGGCTATAGAATGACTTAAGGATTACCAAGGTAAATTCATTTAATTGACCTTAATTAATTTTCATATAAAAATGCCTTGACAAGTATATATGTGACCAGATTGTTCAAAATGTATGGCGCAAATAAATCACATTTTTGCAGATAAACCTCCGTCTTTTCATTGTTCTATCGAAATTTATAAAAGGGACTAATTGCTTTAAATAAATACATCGTTGTATGTTATTTAAAACAGGTAGTATTTTAATTTCAACACTTATACTGAATTTATGAAACAGATATATATAAAAGGAAATCGATCGAGTATAGGTTATTTTAGGGAAACCTATTTATTTACATTAATTAAACGTAACTCTAAGAGTATAAAGCTTCAAAAGTGTTGGTTATTATAATTATAATTAATGGCTTTAGTCAAATATTATATTTCGTACAATATAGAATTCTCAGCACAAAATATTTCAACAAGTTTCCTTTTCTTATTTCTTGATCGATCCTGATGATTAATATTAAGTGATCGCTAGTTAGATGTTAGCGGTTCAGGAGTCGACATCTGAATAATCTTTATTCTTTTGATTGCATATTGACAGCCACCAATATGTCTCCGATGATTGTACTTTTTTGTAAGTTATGCAGAGAAAAGTAATAAACGTTTCATAATAGCGCCTGAATAGGTTATGAGATGAATATACATAATAATGTGTTAAAACAAACAAACAAACAAACAAAAACAGATAACTTGTTGAAATATCTTGATGGTAGGAATGGGTAGCCCAGAAATTAAAACAGCCAGCCAGTATTTTAAGTAATTAGTTTCATAAATTAAGTGGTTTGCTTTAAGCGGTTATCAGGTCAGTTAACCAAATTTTATAGGTCAACCACATTTCTAGCTGAGAAAAAATATTTTAATTCAATTTATAATAATAACAACAGTAAAAATGATATATTTTCTTACAGTGGTTTGAATAAGCATAGCTCTGTGTTCACGCATTCGTTGAACTAACTCTAAAGGTTTAACTGGATAATTACATTCCATTAAATTAATTGATGTTTCAATAGCAATTAGTACACCAGTTCGACCAATACCGGCAGAACAATGTACAACTATTGGTGTTTGATTTTTGCCACGAATTCGTTGAACTTGTTCTACAAATGATATAAGTTGATCAGTATCATTTGGTACACCATGATCTGGCCAACTAATATATTGAAGTTGTGAAATACGACGTGTTTCTGTTTGTTTCCTTAACACTGATTGCAAAGAGGCACGATGTGAAGGAATTTGACTAATATCGAATTCCCGATAAGCAATATCAGTAATGATCTAATTTGAAGTGAATAGCAAAAAATATATGTATGAGTACAGATTGCAACATGAGGTGCTTGAATAAAATTAGATTGTAAAATAAATGTGTTATGACTGATGTGACTGCAGGTCTTGATAAGCAGCGTATTTATTGATCGATCGCAGTACAGTGACACGGAAAACACGTACGAACGACCTAGAGTCTCGATTGGTCCCACTTCCCTGTCTAGCCCAGTCAGTTGAGTCCAGAACACAAGTCACAGCCTCGGAGATATGAATCATTATATTTCAAACATACTTTGTTTATATACCAATCAAGCACACCACATCGTACCATAAAATAGAAAACAACATTTTGTACAATATACAACAAGTGAACAGATATCGACCAATAGAAAATATCCATTTAAAGTCCAAGGACACCATTGGACTTAACATGATAATTATTGGTCTATTCCTGCGCATCCACAACACCTCCCCTTTTTTTTGAAGATCCGGAGTTGATATCCGGATTTTGAAATTTTCTGGGTTCATCCTCCCCCACGAAATAATGTTGGGTCCTCATATTCCCAAGTTAGAATTAATTTGACTTTATTTAACACATAATTGTCAGATTGAACAGGGGAGTCACTGAAAGTGATTAAATAGTGGGGAACAATGTCGCTTGATATGAGGTCACCAACGTTTGATTCTTCTGGAACATTGTCACGGGATTTGTTGAAAATCTCATTTGTAAACAGTTGATCACTGCGATAATCAACATCTATCAAAATTGTATTAGATTTCTGATCATCATTTAATGCATTTAACACATTTTCTGGTACAAAAAGATCTAGATAATAAGATTCGTCAGAATCTCCTGTTGTTGAATGATGAGGACCATTTGAAACAGCTGGATTCAGTGTACCGCACGATTTGTTCCCTGTTCCGTTGTGGGCGGGTACTGCAATTAATTTATGAGCATTTAATAAGAGATCCTCCTGTGAGCTGGGTACATCACTGTCTGTACACGTTTCAGGAACAGTGGGATTTGAACCCACGACAGGGAACGTTTCGGAATTTGACATTTCTGGACAACTGGGCGGACCATGAATAACTGTCTCGTTTACATCACTGGTCGTCCGGGATTCACAGAGGCTTTTATAAACAGCTTCATATGTTCTGCAGTTGTTTTCCAGCTCAGTCTGCAGATGAGAAATGAATTTACCAACTTCTGTTGCACCTCCGAAACATGGAACATTTACCAACAGTGTGCGTAAATTTTCTAAAAAATTTAACTGGCTATTTTTGAAGCACTGCTGTTGTTGCTCAAGTAGAAGCTGTAATCGATCGGAAAAGGTAGTCATTTTTTTTTCAGCACCTGCAATGAAAATTAACTGTAGGAATAATGACCAATGTTGCTCAAGGACGCTGGTGACAATCTGGATGCTGATTGGTCGAAACAATTAACCTGAATCTCGTCCAATTACAAGGTTCAAAATTTTTCTCCACCCCGTCGCCAATTGTTATGACCTTGCGTTGTGTGACTGCAGGTCTTGATAAGCAGCGTATTTATTGATCGATCGCAGTACAATGACACGGAAAACACGTACGAACGACCTAGAGTCTCGATTGGTCCCACTTCCCTGTCTAGCCCAGTCAGTTGAGTCCAGAACACAAGTCACAGCCTCGGAGATATGAATCATTATATTTCAAACATACTTTGTTTATATACCAATCAAGCACACCACATCGTACCATAAAATAGAAAACAACATTCTGTACAATATACAACAAGTGAACAGATATCGACCAATAGAAAATATCCATTTAAAGTCCAAGGACACCATTGGACTTAACATGATAATTATTGGTCTATTCCTCTGCATCCACAACAAAATGATAAATAAAACTCCTTGTTAAAGTAGAATTTTCATAGTTTTTGAATCACAAACTGATCTTAGCTAGACTACCATTGAAAACCAAGAAGCACTAGGCAGCTGTCTCATTCACAACACGGCCCCAGCAAATCGAACCCATAATCTTTTGTCGATGTTCGCAAGGGTTCATACCCGTCAGAAAAGCCAGTGGTTATATGGTCCCGGTAACTAAATGGATAACGCGCTGAATGACTGAAGCGAAAGGTACTGGATTCAAGCCCCGGTGCAAATATCAACACAGTGACGCAGGCACATCCAGCAAACGAGCCCCAAATAGAACGGAATACTCGTCTTAGATTCCAATATTAGTCACAATCTATTTCTTTCATTAAGTCAGAATGTAATAGTGAGGTTTCTAATTAAAAATGGTGTTCAATAAGATTGGTATCATCAGTACTAACAGATAAAATCATTTTGATTATTTGATTATCCAGTGCTTAACACTGAAGATGCATAGCTCTATGATAAGTAGAAGTTGTGGTATCTTTCAAAATTATTAATATCGTTATTTCAGTGACACCTGAATATCTCCGACTTGATTCTATATATTGATCATGGGTAGACATTGTTCATAAGTTCCAAACCGGGTTAAAACAACCGCTTAACGGTTTTTGGTTTTGAAATGTTTTTCATCCGATACCGTTTTTGATGAAAATTAACTTCGAATCATGTGTCTTAAAAATTACGGAATGACTACTAGCATTCTGAAACAATGAGGGGACGATTTCTGATCAACTACATTTGAACAGAAGTTTTCGGCGTTGGGGAATTTATTTGTCAACTTTACAAGCAGTAAATTTTATCAGATATAATACACGTAAGTAAATTTATATTCGCATGACTAATGCTACGAATAAGAAAATGTGTTTAACCCTTATGCTTCTTAACCACTTTATATTAATGAAATTGATTCGTAGAACGTTCACAATCAAACGACTAATTTTCTGTAAAACTGGAATTCTTACACCGACTTATAACTTAGTTGTGACAAATGTATTGTCTGGTTTTTGGCAATGATTGAATCCTATCTAGTAAAAATGAAGATATTTCTTGATGATAAGTATCGATTAATACAAAGTCGAAATTTAGGGTTTCATATCAATAACCGATAGCTATCTAATATAGAACGAAGTATATTGTATCATTTAGATTAGTGAATTCATTGTGACTTGAACGATAAATTTCGGTTAGGATATTGGTTGCTGACAAGTGATCAATCAGTGTATCCAGATCTTTAGAACCAATTTAAATTTGATAATTATGTGTATATTTTCTTACTTTATTTCAGGAGGTTGAATTCCTATTTATTGAACAAGTCAATTCTCAGCTCATACACAATATTAAATGATTGAAAAAATACCGTTTAGGGTTCGATACAATTCGATTCTAAAGAAGAATATACTATGAAAATAAAAGGCTGAGTGATGACTTTAAACTCCAGAAAAATCACAAAGATTACCTCCTCTCGTACAGTTTTTAACTGTAGATCTGTTGAACTACGGGACTGGGAAATCCTGGGACTTGAAGAAACGGAAAAGTTTACTGTATGATTGAGATCTGGCCAATACTGATGACACTTTGCCTGTGAAATTGTAAGAAGAAAAAGCTGCACAAATATACAGAGTGGAAATATACAAAATATAGTGAACGTGATTCATTTGTCAAGTCCATAGAATATCAATCAGAATGCGGAAATCAAGAGAGATGTATTCATACTAGAAGTTAGGGAAACATATGACAACGCAAAATACCTGGACTAATGCCGCGAAATGCATAACTTTACGAAGCTTTAGTATGTAGTTTTGTGATATGTATCTTTGAGAAGCGACTTCTTCGGGCTAAGATTGGTCAGTAGCTTTAGCCCGATACAGCACAATACAGCAAGTAGAAACTTCTCGTTATACAGTAGAAGTTTATAAATCGTTCATGTAACAATAATTGAATACAATCTTAACCATACATCAACATCTTTAATAAATTGCAATACGGTCATAACTATACAACAAGTAGAAGAAGACTGGGTAGTAGGTACGTAATAAAATAACAACAATTTAAGAAGGATATAACACATAACAACAGTTTATGGATTATGGAATAGCTTACAAATAGAAGACCAAAATGTAATACTTTAAGTAATTGGTAAGAAACAACAAAAAGTACTAAAACTTTATGTAGGACCGGTTTTAAAGTTTACTTATTATTTATTCTATTATAGCTTTACCTGAAAATGATCAGTTTTTATAAGTGCAGATAACTGAAAACTTTAACTAACTATAATTTCTGATGAAGATAATTTTATACTTTATGAGTAACCTTCTATGTTCATGTTTTAAAATGACTGATAAATACTTGTTCTTTGTTTTCTGTCATAGTCTTTCTCTCTCCTCTCACTCACTCACTCACTCACTCACTCACTCACTCACTCACTCACTCACTCACTCACTCACTCACTCACTCACTCACTCACTCACTCACTCACTCACTCACTCACTCACTCACTCACTCACTCACTCACTCACTCACTCACTCACTCACTCACTCACTCACTCACTCACTCACTCACTCACTCACTCACTCACTCACTCACTCACTCACTCACTCACTCACTCACTCACTCACTCACTCACTCACTCACTCACTCACTCACTCACTCACTCACTCACTCACTCACTCACTCACTCACTCACTCACTCACTCACTCACTCACTCACTCACTCACTCACTCACTCACTCACTCACTCACTCACTCACTCACTCACTCACTCACTCACTCACTCACTCACTCACTCACTCACTCACTCACTCACTCACTCACTCACTCACTCACTCACTCACTCACTCACTCACTCACTCACTCACTCACTCACTCACTCACTCACTCACTCACTCACTCACTCACTCACTCACTCACTCACTCACTCACTCACTCACTCACTCACTCACTCACTCACTCACTCACTCACTCACTCACTCACTCACTCACTCACTCACTCACTCACTCACTCACTCACTCACTCACTCACTCACTCACTCACTCACTCACTCACTCACTCACTCACTCACTCACTCACTCACTCACTCACTCACTCACTCACTCACTCACTCACTCACTCACTCACTCACTCACTCACTCACTCACTCACTCACTCACTCACTCACTCACTCACTCACTCACTCACTCACTCACTCACTCACTCACTCACTCACTCACTCACTCACTCACTCACTCACTCACTATCACTCACTCACTCACTCACTCACTCACTCACTCACTCACTCACTCACTCACTCACTCACTCACTCACTCACTCACTCACTCACTCACTCACTCACTCACTCACTCACTCACTCACTCACTCACTCACTCACTCACTCACTCACTCACACACAATATGTATATATAATTGAAAATTTAGTGAAACAATGAGATAAAAATGCATTTTAATATTGATTCAGAATAATTTATGTTACTTGTATTTTTTATGATTATCACTACTAGAGAATTAATTTTACTTATCAGAATGTAGTTTCATTCTACCAGTTTTGTATAAAAGGGTAGATACAATTTAAAAATGAAAAAACAAACAAATTCTATGTGTTTAAAATTCAATATGCTGGTATCAGAGATAATTTTATTATTAAAACAAATTAAATAATATTTAACTTTAACTATGTGATAACCATTTTCTTTAAACTAGTAAAGATTTAAATAGAGAAATTTTATTTGAATTTAGTCTCATAAAAAGGGAAAATAATGATTCATTAGAAGTGATGAAGTTTTGAATGTGTTTTTCTAAACCAAGAAAAATGATGCATCTCAGTACTATAGAAGGTCAGGAGCGATTGAGATAGCTTAGTGATATCGTGGAGCTATGAAGCTGGATGATACGGGATTGAATCCACCAGGGAGCATCGGCTCCGAGATAACAGGTGCAGCATGCTGACAAATGCCAAGTAGCACGAGATCTATGTTCAGGGTTTCCTGTAGACTACGTCTATCATATATCTTTTTAATTTGGAGGTAAGGAAGATAAAGAAAATTACTGTTGTAATTTGCCACTTTACAATCAATAAACCGTTATGATGGTATCAATTCTGTCTACTGGATTCTGATGTGCATCAATTAGTATCTTAAAATGTCTCATACGTTTTGTTCTGACACAAATGTACCATTTTAAATAAATCTACACAACTAACATCTTTGTTAAGGGATTCAAATCCATTTCAAGATCTTCATACCGCTGGTTTAAAACTCACCCGTTTAAACTTTCAAAGTTAATTGATCAATTATATATATATATATATATATATATATATATATATATATATATATATATATATATATATATATATATATATATATATATATATATATATATATATGGAGAATTCATTGATTACGAATACAGTGATCGTGAGTGTTATTAGAGATATGAGGGCGGTTATCACTTCCCGGTTGCCCACACCGTGGAAAGGTTCTTCTAGAGGTACCTCAAAAGGAAATTAGGTTAGGCGTGGTCTTAGTGACCCGAGAGCATAACCACAGTGCCCAAGAGACAACTACTTGAGGTCGGTCACACACGACCATTTTTGAGTAATTTCCATATTAGCTCCATACTTGTTGACACCTTACTGCCGGAGACGGATATCCATGGGATAAGGTGAGGTGCGCATTTCTAGGGTCGACCTTTTCCAGCCCCACCCCTCCTTGTGGGGAGGCAGCATCGCTGTTATGCTGGTTGTCTGACGGAAACACCTTACTTCCGTCACACCTCTGTACAGTCGGCAGTACGACTTTGCCCTCGGACATTGGATTTACTGCTTTTAGTCTTACCGCTCTTCAACCGACCTGTCTGGCATGGTAGGACCTTGAGGGATGACTGTTCCAGCCAGTATAGCTCGACTGGTTCATCACGATACTATTATCATTGCATACTATTGTCTAAATTATTCGTGACATGGACGGATTTATTAAGTCATGGAATTAAAAATATACAACCTATAATTATGATTATTTGAAAAATCTAAATCGATCCATTTGAAACCCTGTACATTTCAAAATAACTGACGTAAATTCATTCGAAAAAGAAAAGAAAATTAAACTAATCATTTTAGAATAGTGAAAATGAAATTGAATTTTGTTTTAAGAAACATAATTCATTTTGCTTTGCCATAACTGATAAATACTAATTTGAAAACGACGAGAATAAATTTATGTAGTAAATTTTGCTAAAGTAAAAAAACCCGCTTGTTGTCTCAAGATTGACGAAATTACCGAGAAAATTTCTTTAAAAAACTGTTATTATCGATACTCGTCAAAATGTTACATAAAAAGTTATGTTTTCTTCTTCTCAACCTAATTATGGAAATGATAGACATGGGACAGCCGTTTTTCGCTTGTCATAGACGTTATAGCAATTTAATTTATTAGAAAAAAAAACATCCAAGAAGTTAGCGATTATAAAAAACACAATCAATTATACTTTCCAAAAGAAATTTATACTATTTTAAAGATAGTTTCATATCGAGGTGACATGTTAGAACGGAGAAAAATATCAATAATGGCATATTATAACAAGATTGAACATATGGAACAATGAATTCCGATTCGAGGGGTAAAAAGGTAGTATGGTTGCGGATAGGCCTTAAGGATTCTGATTTCTATTTTCTCCGTAGGGTTTTGGGTGTAAAATACTTAGAATTCGAGAACTCGAGTCAATGGTTCTCTAGCTGATGTTATTAGTTAAAGAAAACTATCCGTGAATTTACTTGATTGAGTTTTAATTACTTATTCGACTCAATCAAGGATTGAGACTAGAATCTTTGAATTTATTTATCAGTATGGTACCATTATAATTAATAATTTTGAGTTCTTTAGTTATCCGTACTTATTTTTATTTTACATTTATGGTACAGTGCATCTATCCCTCAATATCAAATGAAGAGTATCTGTTATCGCATATGGCTTGATTTGTGTAACTAACTTCAATTGGAATCTCATAAATCAGTTTTTAAAGTTAGTTGATAATGAGTTTGGTGTTGTTGTCGGCGACGTAAGTAGATGTTTAAATTAAACTCACCAATTTGAAAATAACCAACCTAATGAAGAATTCTCTGTGGACAGCTAGCTCATTTTGCTAAAAGAATACAGTGTAGTTTGAAATAGAAGACCGTAATTAGTGTAGCATATTAGTTTGACAATACTATTAAGTACTTTTTATAATTGTGAAATTAATTACAAATTGCCATTCAATCAATATTAAATCAGTTTGCTGTTATAAATCGACTGGTTGTAAAATCAAACATGTCTTTAGTTTGACTGTTTAAAGAATCAAGGAACAGGAATAGTTTAGGAGTTATTATAAGCTATTATATGCGTTTACATATAGGTATACCACCTTCAGAAAGTTGGTAAATGATCTAAGTGAATAAAATTAAAAACATTGCTTAAATTTTCAGTTTTTTCCTCTGAATATATTCCAAGTTGATAAGCAGTGATTACAGGATGTGAATAATCGAATCTAGTTTTTAATTTATACACAAGGTATACAACACTATAGAATAGAAAGCGTTGTGTGAACCGATTTTGTTTTCAATCATAATGAATAATTTATAAAAACCTATCTTCGAAAAGTGTGAGTCCACACATTGGTAATGAATAAAACTTACTCGACCACGTTCACTTATAGCTGTCAACATAACGATTAAACAAACTTGTTGTTCCCAGCACATTTGCCAAAAATCACCATAAGTATTTGGTAATGGGCCTTGAGCTGCAATATAACGAAGATTTACTCCACATTTTGGAAATTCCATCTGTAATATAAGATATAACTGAAAATAACTCTAGGGAATTCTTGAAACAATCTCATGTTTTTCGTTTCATGCTTAAAATGATTAGTTATGATTAAAAATTTGCCATCATTTTAATTGATTATTTAGTAAGATCAATCTATAATTGTAGAATTAATAATATGTAGAAAAATGTTTAACAAATATGACAGTCATTCGCCTCAAAAATTCATATTATTTAATTAACGATTGAAGGATAAAATTCATATGTTGTTTATGGTCCTGAACTTCTCTAAACCTAGTCTTTTGGTTGTGTATTTGTACGATAGGGTCACGAAAAAGTTCCAATTTAACAAAAATAACCTATTGAAGAATTTTAGAAGTCGGTGAAATACATACCCAGTTGTCTTTAATTTGTGGTGATTATTTTAGTATTAATACTAGTTATGATGTAATAGTGGGCATTAGAAGTAACATTTTTGACAACTTTGAAACATGAATTTAATCGGTTATAATTTCTGGTTGAATGTTTTGAATAGAATATTGTCTGGCGAATAAACTTAAGATTACAACTATTATTTCACAAAACCTAGAATCCCAAAAGTCACAGTAAAGTTCAAGGTCGTTCTAGGCTTTATAATTTGTACATCATAATTCTATTAAAAGTAATCAATTGACTACAAATGCTTAAAATTCTTAAATATTATGAAATAGATAAACAATATGTTTATTCGAAGATTCTATTTAGCACAAGTTAACATCAAGAAGCATACTTTAAGGATGAATAAACATTCATTACCTGTTTCATTCTAGTCTAGGACAGCTTAATAGTGCACAACCATCGGAGAAAAAGAGATTTAAATTGTAGCTTTTTTAGTTATACAACCAAGTACAACAAGATGCATTTGGTGGGTTAGAATCCAATGATTTACATTTTCTGACTTCGGTCAATATATCGCACATTACGATTTCCGTCTTATGTTATTAGTAAGTTATTCTTACTCATTGTTAACTTAATCGATCTCAAACATGATCTTAAAAAAAATCTAAATGTTAGTTTACTGCTTCATTCATTCGATCTTAGTGATTGAAGTAAATTTGTCTAAGACTTCTCAGTTATTAAAAATACAATAACGCTTAAATAAATTCGGAAGTATAACCAAGACAAAAAGTTTGGGTTTATTTGTGTACTGTAAAAAAAAGATTAAGATGCTTTACAGTCGGGAAATTGACCTATATACAAAAGTAAAACTGACGAATTATGTTTCATAACTTTATATAAACTTCAATTATAGTGGATTTAAATACGATCATGTCTTTTTTTCTAGAAAAATAAAAAAAATCCAACATTCATCGGTATTTCTTGTTATAGGGACCACACAATTTAGCTTATATGAAACAGATAAACTTGAGGTTGATTGATTTAAAGAATTTTTCGTACTCTTTATACAAGATTGTTGTAACCGGAATCAGTTATCAATTGAACAAGTAATTATAAACAGCTATGTGTGTGAGTAGTTTTTTTCTATGTATAACTCTAAAAACTCTTTAAAGTTAAACTGTTGTATTTTTCAGGATGAGATAGAAACATTTAGGTACTACAGTATGCTTTAGTTGATCAAGTGAAATAATGGAGTTTTAAAACAGGAAAACGTAAAAAGATTAATTTAGTAGAAGAATCTTTTTCAACAAGTTCATTTGGAAGTCTGCGTATATATATATATATATATATATATATATATATATATATATATATACTGTATGTCCTATAGTTTAACTGTAAAGACAAACATTTTGACAACTATTAAGAATCAGAAACCACCCTGTAGCTATTTCGTTCTAGTATTGAACTCTTTAATGGTGCACATTACCAGGGGTCGAGTGCATGAACTTCAGAATTCGTAATAGAAATTCAACCTTCAAATCAACAAGTTTATGTCCAGGGGTTTACACTGCTAATTTCAATCGACAATGATCAATTGCGATTAGTAATATTTGTCATGCACCGGATATGATTGAACTCCTTAATTTTGATGGTTGTCTAACAGATACATAAAATTATGAAACCAAATAGCCCATACAACATAATATACTAAAACGACTGCGTTTGTGAGAATGTTGGAAATGTATAATCGTTTGAGTAAGTAGAGTATGTGCCTCATTAACCGAAAATTGAAGAGGAAGACGTGTATTATGAATGATAGCCACAAGTTCTGAATGGTAACACCGTTTATCATGAAAAAAAAGGAAAGAGAATCAAAGAATGTTTGCTGATGTGAGAGGGAAATATGTTAAGACTGGGATCGTGATAGAGGGAAGGATCAATTACTCTACTTTTCTGCCTCAAAATCTCCCATGGGTGTTTAAATATTGACCTTTCGGGATCCTTACTTGGTGTTTGCAAATAATGTCAAAGTATGCGCTTCGAGATTAGTAACCTGAACCAACTACATGTTACGGAATAGATTACATCATTATGATACATTTCCCCTTGCTAAACCATCCAAGGCGATGTTCCGAGATGAAATAAAAAAGTGACCACAGCAAAACGAAAAAAACACAAGTAACAACTTATTTGCATGTTTTACTGAGATAACGATATTTGGATTTTAATGATTAATTTAAATAATACCATAACTATATTGGAGTAAGTTGAAATAAATAATATAAATTACACTTGATATTCAGTGAAATATTGATGGCATTATTTACACATCAAGTCACTCTCACTCAAAAATTCCTTATTACTAAACATTTTCATTTACTTTCAATGAATAAATTGATTTAACCGATGTAAATGGAATATAGGTTATCAACGAAGCTATAAAGAGAGGTTTTGTGGATATTATAGTAATTTAATAGATGAATTCATGAGTATAAATTATAACAACGGTCTACAATTCTCTACAGAAAAGAAGACCAAACTTTAAGTTTTAACATAATTCTTGTTTTAAGCATTAGAAATGAGAAAAAAGTTTCTAAAACTTTCTGTATCATCTAATATGCATCCTGTTGTTCAATATACTAATACAAAATGTATTGTGAGCAAGAGTGACAACTGATTGGCAAAAAACTTCTTATTGAGTTTATAATTATACAGACATGACGAATTAAATTTCATTTAAGTATCAGTATTAACAACAGATTACACGCCTAGGTTAGAGCACTGTGGATTATGTGAACAAGGATAGATCTATCTTTACAGTAGGAGGATTTTCAATAAACCTCATGTTAGTTATAAAAGTATTAACTGATAAAATTTAATGATCATTATTACAACTCAATTATAGTCGAATTTAACTAATAGTTCGTCAAGGTAAGTTAATATGTTGTGCAGAGTTCTGACTCAAGCATTAGATTTTGTAGATAAAATTTTATGCGAATCTACGAATAGCAATTTTTCAGTAGCAAACAATTTTTTTGTTGCAATTACGACAATCAGTTTGTGGGGACTAACTTAAATTGAATATAGTCATTCTTGGAAGAGTGACTTGTAATTTGATAATAAGACTTTTATTTTGTATTGGCTAAATAGTTATCTTCTCTAATATGTTATATAAGATTGACAAGTATAAGTAGTTAGTTGATGTAAATTTTGACAAGTGACTTTAGACAGGAGCCTAGTAATGTTGTTTGGAATAGATTTCTAAAAGTTAATTCATAAAGTAATCATCTGCAAAAGGTTTTACAAAATCAACGTTCTGTTTGTTAAATAGGAAAATATTCAACTTCTTGATCAAAAATAGTTACTAAAGGTGATAATCGCTACCAAATGACAAAAAATGATGTACTCATGACAATCTAGAGGTACTGGACAATTATTTTTTTCCAGTTTACAAAACCCTGATCATTGTGTAACCATGGTTCTGTTCAAGGTGAAAACTATGGTCTTTAGGTTTACCAATACGCAAAATATATTTCGTGCACTATCGACTTCATTAAATGTGTAGTAAAATACTCATTCCACATTATTGGTGAGTTACTGTTTTACTTTTGAGTGGATTAACTTGACGGGTCACGTTGTTAGGCTATAGCAATTCAAACATAGACAGTCGCTAGTAGGCATTTAAGTTAAAGAAACTAAGTGTTGTCTTAATTAAAGTGTATCTGAGGCTTATGAAGATATAGATTGTGAAGAAAGCTATGAAAAAAAAAGCTGATCGATCAATTCACTAAGTGAAAATTTTCACTGTTTATAGCAAGGAAACACATTGTCTTGATTAATTCTGTAACAGCTTATGTAGTTTGTAAATATCCAAAGAAAGTTTGCTGTATAAAGACGTCATGGTAATTCTCATGAATGTTCTTCTGATAAAAAAATAATCTGCTTAGTTCTTGAACTAAAAACCAATTTGGTTAGTTTTTTTGAAATTAAAATTTTTTAATTCATTTAATGATCTTCCATTTTTAATTCTGTTTCATGATGTAAACATAGCAGAGCATATTTAACCAAAAACTTAGTGGTATTCGAACTGAATTTAACAGACAACTAAAGACACATAAACAAATACAAAAGGCGATATTAATTAAATATCTTTAGATTAGATAGTTTGGAATAAAAAGAACATGAAGTAGTCCTGGAAACTGAAAAGAGAATGTCAATTACTGATGAAATAAGTATCGTCATAAAAACAATACTGCGATAAAAAAAGGGACGGGGGTAGACGGATTTTTTAAGTTAGTAATGGACTCTTCAACAGTGCGATCCCACAATCTTGCGTTAAAAATTTCTTACTTTAATAAAAATCATTTGCTTAACAGTGACTAGCTTCCTGAATATACTGGTTATTCCAGTGACAGGTCATAGCTAGTACTATTTAAACTATATTGGAAGTGAGATAGATATTAGTGATAGAATTAGATATTGGTCATAAGTGCATACAAATAGGAAGTTTTAATATAGTCTGTAACAACCGTTCGGTGCTGTGCTATTTACAATAGTTATTATATCGAAGTCACTTCATGATTTAAATTATTCTAACCTTGAACAATCTTTACATTTTCAAAAACGATTAAGTGGCTTGTATTATATTATTAAAGAAAAGCAATTTTTGACAGTGAGCGTACCAAAACAACCAATGATAATATGACAACTATATCTATCTTTAAAGTACGGAAAAGGAATCTATGCTTTGGTAAGAAAATTACGACGGCTTCATATAATATGATGAGTGAAAAAAACTTTCTTATCTTTAAAGCTAAATGAATCATCACAATCATCTGATACAATACAATAGAATCCCGCGTGTGCGGTCGTGATTGTGCATTGCTGAGGTGTTCCATACTAGGATGAAACGACCATCTAGTGCTTCCAGGTTTTCAATGGTGGTCTAATATTGATCGGTTCATGATTTCAATGTAGTACAATACCGTTTAATAGCTTAATAAAACAATATTTATGTTTACCGTGTTTACTATTGTCAAGTTAAGAATAGCCGCTAGAAAGTTTTAACAGAGATATTTACAATTTTTCAACGTTCGATTGTGAAAAACTAATATTCTTTCATTGACTTACGATACATCTCATCTGTAGGTACTAATCGCTAAAGGATTTGTAGCAAAAGTATAAAGTCTTAACTTTCAAATATTAGATAATGTGAAGAGAAATAAACCATAGATGATAGTAGAAAATTGGCATGTATAATTGAATAAAACTAGAGATAAAGTTGGTTCAGTTATAGGTAACAATGATTTTTTTAAACAAGCGAGCTTACATTTACAAAACTAGCATTGATATAATCTCCAGATCCTTGTTTTAATATGACACGAGTTTGATCATCTATTTCAAAATAAATAAATAAACAAATAAATAAATCAAATAAAATCTACTGACAAACAAAAAGAGGATGATCAAATTTTATTGAATGATTATAGTTTATCATTTGGAGGTTTTTCTTCTAGAAGTTATTACCAATAATTTTCCGGTTGTTTTTTGATCTTGCTAGGGAGTCTAATTAAACTGTTGTTATGTCTACTTGGAAAAAATTTGATAAAATCGTTACTAAATAGGAAAATTGCTACCCAAAACTTTGATCCAAAGAAAACACGCCGACGAGAGAATTTACCAGGTCATTAACAGATGGTCAGCTAAGAATCCCTTTATGGAATTTTGAAGATTATTGAATCTTCATGCACACCATTATATGCTAGATCATACACATAAAGATTACGTGATCATCGCAAGACCTGAAGGTGCTGGGTTTGATTCCCTATGTGATAATAGGTGCAGAGTGCTTAGGAGTCCTATACTAGGTTGTTTAACCAAAATCGATCAGTGATGCAAGCCATAAAAAATCAATCAAGAAACTTGAACAGCTTCTCGTTCTTGTTAGAAAATTATTTTATAGTCAGAATCTTGAGTTGTAAGAAAGACATTTCTACTAAATTGATAAATTTGATTTCATTTGTTAATATTTTCTCATTCTAATAAATCTATTGATATTAATTTACTTATTAATCTTTTATTTTATCAATAGTTATTAGTCCACATCCGCAAACTGATTGACTTTAAACAGTCATGTAATACTGTTTCTTTGATTTAAATGACCAATAAGTATCGACTCGATAAGTGACGATTATCGATTAATTCTATGAAGGTTGAAGACATAAAATTATTCAGAGTATTTACATATTTCAAAAGAATGGAGAATAACAAAACTGAAGTAATCATTGAACTGAATATTCCCTGGCAAAAGCGTAAATAGCAATGTAATATAACCTTATCGCTGTTTGAGGAATAAAAAAAAACTTGAAGTTGTACACGATGTATTATTCGTGGTATTTAGTGGCCTGATATCTGACTCCAGGTAGATCATTCGCTGATTGTTATCAAAAGATACATGCCGAAAATTCTTGTACATAATCATTGACTTAAATCGCGTTGGTGAACGACGGAATTAAATAGGTCAAATACGATAATGGACTTTTTGAATACGTACATTTCGTACAATCGTTGGTCGGTACAGACATTCAGAGAAACGCGGAGAAGGAAACAAAAAGGAGAGAGAGAGAGGCGAAACAAAAGGATGCACAGTGGGGAAGGAGGGTGAGCTAACTCGATTTAATCGGGTAATATCTGTAGTCAGACAAAAATAAGCTACAGAGATGTGATGATTACAGAACTCATACACACGAATTTGTAGATTTAATCTTTCTTTAAAAGACAGAACAACGATCGAACTGAAAGCCTTTTCTCTCTCTTATATTTTTATATGAAATGAAAATGCTGTTGTATATAACTAGTAATTGTTTTACACTCTCCTTTTAGAAGCCAAGCTGGATAGTGTTTTGAGATGCATTTGAACAGTGAAATGAAGATGTTCTGAGTACTGTAAATCAATAAATGTTACAGAAAATAAACATACTCTAAAACCTAACAGCGTCTTCAGTTTAAACTGGATATTCTGTCACAACTTAAGGTTTGTGTTTTTCAATTGCTGTTATTTAAGAGCTGTAGCTGGTCAACCTCCGTTTGGGCAAGTGTATCCTAAGTGGAGTGTATCGATGTTATCTTTTAGTTAAAAGATTTTTGTGCATTGTGGCTAGTAATGAGAAAATGAAAATCTTGGCAAATAACTACATACTTGTTGAATAATTTAGTGACTTTTTCATTCAGTGGTTCTGAGGATAACTCGTTGTTTGGAGAGATGAGTGCTTGGTTGAAGTGATGGCGTTCACATGAATACTCGAATGTAAATTCGTCTGACTAATGGGTACCATATAAGACGAAACGAGCATACAGAATACTACTTTTATCCATTGTCCAAACGTTAAGTGACGAGTTTTAAAATTAACTTTTAGTGTCAAATTTGTAGATTAAATCCAGATCACAGATTGTTAGTTGAAGGTGATCAAAAAAAGGTTGAATATTTAACTACTGCACAAGGAGTCTAAACGTTTCAGAGATAACAGTAAAGTTGCAGAATGTATTACTCAACTTAATAAGGTTCGGTTTCATTTAAATCTCGCCACTACGGTTATATAAACATTGAATGCATCGGGTTAATAATAATTCCATACAATGAGGTATCTGATATAGATTTGGTGCATTTTATTATCGGTAATTTACAATTTTATGAACCAACCATAACATATACGCTGTTACATGACATATATATAAGATTGTTTTTCACTAACATCCGTAGAAGTTGTTTGATTAAGATAGATCAAGTTCCTCATTCTAGTCGATAGAAACAGATAGTAATAGTAAATAATTAAAATTTTAATAGGATGCAAGTGTCTAAAGTAACACGGACATTCAAAGATGCATGGTTATCTGATGAAATGCACTTTAGAAATACGAACATATTTCCGTTTTTTTGTTATTAACATTTAAATTTATTTAATAATCTACTGAGTAAAAATAAGGTTAGTTAAATAATTTGACGTTAAATCCTAAAGGTACTCATTTAATTAAAGTGAGGGTTGTTTACTACAATTTGCCTGTCAATTCTAAGTGCTTTAGTCATGGTTTTGATAATTCTAATCTAAGGAATGAGATAGAATAAAAAATAATCAAATATACTTAAGGCTAAATAAAACCTGAGGTTAATATTGATTAGTTAATCATAGATTTCTTGAACGTTTTACTTCTTAGTCTATTTAAAGTAATGATATTTGATGACTGAAAAATTGTAGCTTTTAAAAATCAGATTATTATTTTAATAAGTCACAGTACTTACAATAAAGAGATAACTTCACCTATTCATATATAAGTTAAACAAATAGATTTGGTCTAATGTGACAATTTTAGTACGTTACAGTTGGTTGCCAAGAGAAATCTGTTTAGTCCTAGCAAATTCAAGTCAAGTCTGTTTATTCAACCATAATAGAATCTTATCATAAAATTTTATAGATGTTAGAAAAAATACTGTTAATATTGATTATCATACCGAGAGTTTATGGTTATTATGTTACAAAACTTATATATAGTTGTTTTCAATGATTTAGTATATGATAAAATATTGGGTATGGCATAAACTTGTAGGGAATATTTTCTATTGTAAAGCATAGAAAAGTTAATGAGAATTAGTTAGTCATATAAGCCATGAAGATTACCATTATGTAATCTTGTGAACTATTTGAGTAAATATATTGTAAGTGACCATTGGAACTCAGCAAATAATTTGTGGAAGGATTTACTTTGATTGTATGATGAAAAGTAATCAGTCAACGCAACTGGATCAATTAAATCTGATTGACAAGGAAAGCATATTAATGATTTAGAAAGCTCTGTTGGTATCCATTAAATGATGTTATTTATAACATTGGAAAAGAATATGTTTATTTTGTCAGTTATACAGAAGTAAGCCCTGTTTTGCAACTAACTGACAGGTTAGATCATTTGATAGTACCAGCTATATCAGCTCTATACTTTTTATTAATAATCTTTTGAGTAGCATTAATTAGGGATGTTCAATCAGCAGAATGGTTGAATTTACTGAAACTTACATCAGAAAAGACACTCTTATTGATTCTTGAACGAACGAAAAGTAGTTCCACTAGTGATCTTGAGGTGTATGTAAAATAAATTATTAGAGGTAAGGACGTAACGCTTGCATTTATGGGTACAGAAAGTAAATAAATGAAGATAAAGAAACCTCTTTAAAAAATATATTTACATAATTGTTTCGTAAATACATAATTTCATTTTTCCGGATAAAATTACCATTTTCTCCCCTTTTTATTCTTATCAAGTACTTTCATTTTATGTAGATAACGTTTTGTATTCCATTGAAATGTAAGTAAATAATAATAAAAACAATCATATTCTTACATGGTGAAATATCACGATAACGATTTTTTATTGAATTCTCGCTTAAACGAGACACATTCATTGTGAGACCAGATTTTCTTCTAGGCAGATGCTAGATATTTTAAAGATAAACAATTATTGTAAATTTTCTAATATCATAGTAGAATAAAAGAACACATAAGAAGTGTATATTTAATTGTTCAAATATAGAAATATCAAAATCTAAGGAGGATCAATAAATTGTTTTGTATAAAAGACTATGAGGAATTGTTTAGTTTTATCAGATGAGATGATGGTTGGAAGTAGTCGGCAGGAAACCTTGGACCTAGGTTTCATGCTATTTGACACTTGTCAGCAAGGTGTACCTGCAATCTTGATGGAACTAATACTCCCTGACCAATTCGATCCCGTGTCACTGAGCTTCACGGTCAGAAACGTTATCACAGAGTTGTTCGGGCCGCAACTGACTTTCTATTGTTTATCATTATATAGTAAAATGAATCAACAAAACTTGTTGTCTTTCTGAAGTCGTTAAAATAAAATGTAATAATATTATCGTTATTATTCCAATTATGATCATAATTGAGACAAGATACAAAGTAAATTAAATCTGGATACTCATTTTTTGTCTTGTAGAATGTTCAACTGCGTTCAATTTTCAGATCTGACACAATAATATCCGTTCAAATGACAACTGTAAGAGTAACTACTAAGATAAATTAACTGATTTAAATAAATGATAAACTATCACTATATTAAGGAATTACTTCTAAAGTAATAATTACACCTAAAATAATATACAATCAACAAATATCCGTAGACTTACTTCGAATTGATTTAACAATGATCCATCAGCTAAATGACTTTCTAATTCTATCATTGAATCTAATAATGTGGAACCAGAAAAAGAATATCTATGAACGGTACTATTGTTATGATCTCGATCCATTGCATTATTAGATGATGATGATGATTTAAGTGAAAAACGTGTTAAACGTTTTGAATTTCTTGCAAATTTCTCTAAAGAAAGTGTTGGTCGACGGATAGATGAGTTATAAGATCTAGGTGGAACTGGAGGAGCATCTCCAGAGTCTGGGATAGGATTGTCATCATTTACATCATCTGTAACATAATCTGTATGGGTAAAAATTAACACAAACTGATATTAAGTAGTCAAATATATGTACATATATGATATGAAATAAAGTATAGCGTTTATTTTTACATTATGGAAAGTTACAATAAGGTGAATTATTTTACTTATTATTTAGAATGTTTCACTGTTTGCTTATCACTTCAGCAGCCCCCAAATGCCCTGGTTCGGCCGAGAGTGGGGAGAGTCCGCTCTCCCTCTCGAAATGCTCTCACACGGCCACGTGTATACAGCATCTGCCAGAGAAGTCCTACTCACTGGCTTCTCGTGGCGGGGGTGTTGTTCACGAGATTGAGAGGACGAAAAGCGAATGTTCGGCGCTTTAACCGGGTTGGTGTACACGGAGAGTCGGAAAACCCTGATTCCAAATCAGTATCCTGAATGGACAAGTGGCATATGAACCAATTGTTAGTCACAGGCTACCGTGGGAATGCATCTCCTTACGTTGCTCCACTGCCTTGTGGATCAGACCTTCAGGTCGAAGGCTACGAGTGTGGCCCCCTAAGAAAACCACCTGCTCCGGTTTGGGCACCCGGGCAGTATCACAGTCCTCACACATATCAAATGAGATCTGTGTGACGCATATGTATTTGGTGCCTCCTTGTACCAATATCTATGTGTTAAAATAAGTAAATAAAATAAATATCACTTCGGCATGTATTTATTCTTTAGTAAATGTGTTTACATATATAGATTGTTAGATGAACTGAATAGTGCACACTTGTGGATTGCAGAACATATCTTATTGTTTCAGTAAGTAAATATGTGCATTTATCAATAAAAAAAAGAAATTTTTGTGTCATTCTGTTATTGTAAGACAATGAAAAAAGATTATATCAGTAAGTTAAAGTCGGAATAAAGTTAAACCAAAAATCGAATGAAAAACCACAGCCGACGCACATAGATGTAAGATATTGAAATGAGTGATTTTGAAAGAAATATCTATGTCAATTTATTGCTTCATCTAATTTATTCTATTCAAATTAAATTTATAAAAGACAATCAGGTAATACGTTAAAAAAATATGAGCAAATTCATGTGTGTTTTCGCGTCGACGATATGTCATATTAAGTTTCAAAGTAGCAGAATATAGCTAACAAAGATTCGCAGTTTCCAATGGTTCACCAACTAATGGATGAAAACCATTTTCATAAACGTAATACTTATTTCATATTAGAAAAAAAGTATATCTCATTGTAATATTACTTCAAAATGTACAATATACATTGTAATTTTGGGATACACATAATGATTAACACGTTCAAAGTTATATTTATCGTAATGTTAATAACTTAAGTTGTGATATTCATCTATAAACCTTTGTATTGTCCTATTTTAATTTGTATATTATAAACAAATAAACTTTGTAAGATTCTTCACTGATGAACTAAATACTAGACAGTTCTTTAAATGGATTTACTTGTAAAATTCATTTGAAAACTTTAATTGAAATGTTTATGTGTTCAACTTGTATGTACATCATTTTAATAATTATGTTATCTTTGAAAGATTTTGTTCACATTTTATTTATTAATATTCATAATAATACTATCATCATTTATGTTTTCATGAGAACATGAATTTGAATTCCCCGGCTTTGTCATGTGTACGTGTTTATATGTTGTGTTGTTTATTGAGAGGAATAAAGAGGAAAAAGTTACATCTTTATGTTTTTTTTTCTTTCAAAACCACTGCTCAACTACTTAATATTTGTTATCATAATTATGTTAAGAAGGATAACAAACAAATTAGACAAAGAAGGAAGTGTGAAAGATACAGTGTTAAAACACATCAAAAAAATTATTTTATGGTTTGTTAAACAAGGTACACAAGTTAAATTATGAAAACAGAGCTAACAATGAAAGTTGGAAAAAAAAACGTTCGTGTGTTACAAGAGAATTTAAACAAAGCAGTTTAAACATTTCCGGTTACTGATAAAATACAATTCATTTATGTCGACATTATGAAATAATAATAATGGTTAATAGTTTGATAACCAAAGCTATTTTAGTTATATTATTTAAAGTTACTTATTGACCTGTTTTGAACACGAAAACTTAAATGAATATACATTGTGAGAAGACAATGTATTTAAGTGCATACTAGATATGGTAGAATAAAAAAAATCAATAGACTGTAATCTGATTGAAATCATGAACCTATTTAAGTTAGCCCACCATTGAAAACCTGGAAACATTAGACATCCGTTTCGTTTTAGTATGGGATTCCTCAGTAGAGCGCATCTATTCCTCCATACGCGGGACTAGCACTCAATATATTTGGTCTCGCACGCAAACGGTTAACCATTAGATCATAAGACCGAAATACACACTAGGAAGAAATGGCCGTCTAGTGCTTCCAGATTTTCAATGATGGGCTAACTCATATAGCTATATGATTTCAATGAAATTCAACAATCTCCACAATTACATAATGAGAAATGCTGTAACCAGTTTAGCTTCGCCATTCGGTTATTTAACTCTTTTTAGGTGGAACTTCCAAGATATTATGTGAGACAAAGATGATTGAAAAATACTTGTCTGTCATTTACTCCTCAGTTGGATTTATAAGCAAAGTATATATATATATATATATATATATATATATATATATATATATATATATATTTGGTATAACAAAACGCAAAAGCACACTTACCACTTGGTTTAACTAAAAGCTCAAGTGTACCATAATTTTGTTCACTTGTAGCACGTATCATATTTACAACCTAAAATTCCAATTTAATAAAACAAAACAAAGACAATAGTTATAATTTAAATTTTAATGTGAATTTGAACAATAAACTCATCGATACAAAAAGAAAACAAAGTTTATAATGTGATATTTATTGGTAAAAATTTGTTTTCTTTAATTATCTCAATTGACTAGTTATAATAGGAAGTGGAAATCTGGATTAGATAAGCAAGAAGATTGTAAACATTTCTCATTACACAATCAAATAAATGCAGATAATACAGAAGAGCGATGAGACAAAGAGGCACTGTTTGGTTTTTTAATTATTGTCATAATAATGACAAACCGTTAAAACACTCAGTTGATCTAGATCACTGTATATAAATATATTCTAGAAGTGTTTTGTAACAACATCTGACATCATTAAGTTTAAGGTGGGAAAGCAGGAAAAACTTTCCCCAAATGTGATGATTTACATTACTAACAAACTTTAGGAGGATAAACATTAAAAAAAAGAACCGTTATGGAGTTGATTAGTTTTTCTGAGGGACCCTATAGCAGTGTGTACCCAAGACTTCTCGAAGGGTCAATATTGATCAGATAATATTACGAAACTATTGGTATTGAAAATATGAATCGTTGGATGTTAGCTTAATGTAGCAATGGCAACGTTTTCGTTTTGAGAACTTAGTTACCTAAGCTCATTTCCTATTACTTTTATAGGAATGCACTGATGAAGGATCCTAAACACAGCTGTTTGTTCAATGGTTCTCTAAATGAAGTCAGTCTGCTGCGAATACTTTCTTCACACTGGACAATCATCCCAAACCTTCAATCCTAATTTCTTCAATTAACTTGGTTACTACCATTATCGTCTATAGACAGTCAGTTATGCTTTTCAAATAAAATAGTCTTGAGGAACTTTAGCGGTCTCCAATTACTCTATTTTGCTGTTCATCTGACGAGATAATTTGTACACCAAAAGTGAATATTTAAAGTATTGTTAATAAATGAGTTCAATAATTTCTCCTGAAAAATACAAAAGAGCCAAAAAAATGTTAGAAGAGTAAAAAGTGTCTGGATATTACGTAAGTCAATGTTATAAACATTAGGTGCATTAAACGACAGTCATAACTCAATACTAAATGCATATTAAAGAGTATGCTTTTTCATGTTATCCAATCATTAGCATTCCTGGTATTAATTGGTTAATCCGATTTATGATTTAATCTCCGGGTTTGGAAAATTTAAACCACAAAAAGCAAACAGAACGTTGAATAGTTAAAAGAAATTAGCAAAAATTGGTTTAACGCGTCTGATGAATTTATAAACTTGATATTGACTGCATAATGAGGAGCCACAATCATGGACGTTATGTTTATCTGTTTTTTGATCAGACTGATTTCTATGCAGGAACTAATTCAATTAAGAACTAATGTTATGCTGCCTGATTCTCAGCACCGATATAATTTGTTTTACAACAACGTATTGTATTTGTTCCTATGCCCTTTCAGAGACTCCTTATTGTATATACTTATGAGCTACGATCATATTATTGATCGCTGCATGACAATACAAAGTCAAAGATTTTGCTTCAGTAGAACGCTTCTTTATATATTAAATGATTAAATTTCACAGTAATCACTATTAATCTTGGGAAGTGATAACATGTCGTATCAATCAAAGTAGACAACACATCCAGACGAACTCCTTATTTTTGAATAAAAAAGAACTTATAATGTTACCTGTAAATGGGTCTGGTTTGAAACATCTTTATGATTGATGAATAAGATTTGATCACCCTCTGAAAGTCTAGGAATGCATAGGTCAGCAGGCATATTAGCACCGACACGGCTAACTATAATCGGCATTCCATGATCGATCCCACCTTTTACGTTGAATCCAAATCGTCCATGACTATCAGGTCTGATGGAAATACGGACTAGTCCTTCAGAATTTAATTCATTAATTTCATCAGGTAGGTGAAGTGAATTTTCAACGTCTGGGGCACCTGGATGAAATGGATCTCTATTTAAACCTTTATTACGCGTGTGTTGGGAGTTATCGATTTCAACACCATTATTATTTGTTACATCTGAATGCTTATTGAGAAGAAGAATAGATTACTTGAAATGATCATTATGAAACAAAATTAGTCGATAATAATTAAAAGAGATGCGAGAATTATGAATGAATATTTTATTTAGTAATCTCACCTAAATACACTAAGGATTATAAATGGTTTTTATGTCTTCTTAGACAACGCGCACAAAGCTAAGTAATAGACTAACACAAAACGTTAACTTGATTTGTATCATTTCAATCAATTGGAATTCTCAAGGGGAGATCAATAAATACCGGACTGTGTTGAAGCAAATTTAATTTTTAGCTGTGGTCAATCCTTAGTATGATACTAATTTTCTGTCATTTAAATAAATTATGATAAATATAGAATAGTTGATTGCATTCGGAAATCCCTATTTTTCATTGTAAGATTCCAGTTAACCGTTCTCTGGCTCGTATATCCGTAAATTTTAAGTTCAGCCGTTTTGAATATATCCATACGAACATTTGAACTTTATTATTATTATTATTATTATTATTATTATTGCCATTAATATTGTTACTATTAGGTTTAGGTTCTCCCAGTACTCAGTGATTAAATACTTTTGATTGTAATAAAAAACAGAAAAATAAATTAAGTGATCATAATCGTAATAAAAATCCTTTAGTTTTTATCCGAGGCAACATTTTTTTAAGCTACTTTTTTCTTATATCTAAAATCCATTCTTAAAAATAAATGGATCGATAAACACATGTACACGTAACTCATTGTTCATTCATTCATGAATACATCGACAAATATAATTACAACCAGATAGCTTACATCCATCATCTTCTAATAGTATAGGATTTACATGATAGGGATAATTAATGAGATAAGATTATAGAGTAAATAAGAAAATTAGGCAAAATTTATGTTTAAACGACACTTTGAGATGGGAAAAGAAGCAATGATTGAAGACTTTGAGTGATCATCTATGCATACTAACATCATACAATTGACGATACATCGATAAACGTTTAGATAGATAGATAGATAAATATGATCAACTTAGGGTCTGATTTGGGCATATATTAGTTCAAATTTTCATGTTTTACATCGACATACAGAGAGAGTGAATAAGGTAGTTTCTAGGGTGAAAAGTACATGAGTTGGGATAATAATACTCGTGATAATGAAATGTTAAATGTACAAGATATTACAGAAAAAGGAAAAAAATGAAATTGGAAGGTAAAATGTATAGAATAATATCAAACTATCTAAGTGAAGATTAGTGATGAATAGATTTATGGCACTGCAGCTGGTTTTGAATCATAGGTTGAGTGACATGATTGAGATAGCATTTACAGCAGTTTCAAAGATTAAATAGACAGAAAGAAGCAATCATGAGCCCTGACATTAAAATATTTATCACTCAGAGTTCATTTAAGTACGATTATTAGGAATCATAGGGTATAAAAGCAGAATATTGAAACTAACGATATCAATAGTAGTAGACAAATAAGTGCTAAGAATCAAGAAAGAGGTATAAATAAGGGGTGAAGGATAGAAGGCAATATGATTTTTGGTGTCTAAGCTAAAAGTGAACACTAGATTCAGTTGGAATGTTAAGAATTGAGTAACAATTTCAACCGTCACTAAGAATTGTCACACATACGAATAAAAAAGTTTGTATTTTACTGCATAAACCAGGTCAACACTTTTAATACATAAAAACAGGTTGATGGACTCGATTCTGTAAACTAACAATAACTCACTAAGATGCTTCATATACTTTAAAACAAGTATGTAGTAAATTTATGCCCAATGTATCTAAATCAATGTGCTCTAATTCAGTATTTATATCAGGTGAAACTTGAATATCAACAGTTATCCACCTCAGAAAATAGATGAAGGGTTGCACAAAATCATGGATCGATTGATGTTAGACATTAACACCGTTGAACACTGGCTCAGTGATCTAAATGTCAAGCGTTCACACTCGAGTCCGAAGGTTCTGGATTCAAGCCCTGAGTGCAGACTCTTGGATGCGCACTGCTAAGTACTTCAATAATAGGACAAAATGATTGTTTAAAGCTTCCAATGGTGATTTACCTTAGACTGAATCGCGAACTTAACTGTGAATATATACGATTACATATTAATTTTCAGTTAATTAATGCGATGATGAGTTCAATTTAATTGCTATCAACCAGTATGTATGATATAATTTTGATCATAATCAGAAGCCACAAAATGATTATTGGTTAGTAATAACGTACATACATGTATACAGGTATCACAATTGAAACACAATTCATAACAAATAACGTTTACAACTGAGGTTATCCGCAATATTTTAAATGTTATTTTATGAAACCAGTAATTTCGAGCATTTTCCAATTCATTCGATGAATGAGAGCTATAGGTTACAAGGTGATTGTCATTGGTCATTATTTTTCTTAAGCTCTAAATTTTACCAGATCTGTATTAGTTAGATATCATGTTATGCATCACTAGACTGACCATTTCATAGCAGACTATTGTGGATAGCTTTAGACGCTTAAAATAAAAGGTTTAAATGAAAATCACACTTTAATATTCAGAATAATAAATTGACTGAAAGTGCTTGTGACACATTTTTGTGACATAAATTTTTAAACGCTAAAACACTGAGAATAACCTAAGTTACTCCAAAATTACAAATCATACTCAACGTATAAATATAATCTGTCAATTAGTGAATAAAAATTTCTTTTTCAGACCATAGTTACTTTTAATAATTTTTATTATTGATAATTTCGTTGATAAAGCTGTAAATTTATTTATCAAGAAGTTTCCATACATCGTATGTAAACAAGATTCACTTATACTTAGTTAAGCATATATATTAAATACATGTTACTTTCAACAGTAAAATCAATTCAAGCAAGCAAACAAACAAACAAACAGGATATAGCTAGTTATTATGAATGTTAAATACATAAACAATTTTAAATATAAGAAGTACGCATTGACTATTGTGATGTTATTATCTCGTTTTATTCCATGTAAAACAACGTACTAGTTTTAAGACTTAAGAAATTTGAGCAAAATTAAATTCTTATTTCTTCCTGAAAGAAAAACGATTTCATTTTTACTAAGTATATGAAGAGAAAAACGGCTGTAGTAAATAAACCACAGGAAATGATGAGATTATATTTGTTGCCAAATAAAATTAATGATTTTTCTTGAAATAAAAATAAAAATATGAAAACTGTCAGAAAGAAATAGGAAATTGTTTCATTTGTGTATCTTTACCATTGATAAAATCACTAAACGAATAAGGAAAAAAATTACTACTACCAGGTTAAAATTAAAAAGATATGGGTAAACATGGTAAAGAAGCGGGTTTTTTCTGGCTGGCTATTGTTTGAATTTATTGTTGTAAGGCAATTACTCACTGAAGACAATGGTGGACGGTCGCACAATATCGTGGATTGGTTGGAGTTAGATATTAACATCGTTAGATGCCAGCTCACTGGTCTAAATGTTAAGTGTTCGCGCGCGAGAACGAAGGTTCCGGATTCAAGTCCCTTGTGAGGGATCGTGGATGAGCATTGCTGAGTCCAATAGTAGGACGAAACGGCTGTACAGTGCATGCAGGTTTTCAATGGGGGTTTAACATTGATCCATTCATGATCTCAATCTGAACTCAATAGTCTCCACAATTCTGTACTGAGTTTATTCACTGATTCCTCCTAGTGTGTGCATGTATGTAAACTAGGATTTCATAGGTCAAAACGAACAAGAGTACAGATACCTAATCAAACGCGATAGTATTGTATTATGCAATAGCTTTCCGTTATGTAAAATATGGTTATTTGAAAAGTGAAAAAAATCATAAATCAAACCGAACTACAATATAAATGGTTTGTTGACAGTCGGGATAAAACAATGAATTTAAGTTTTGCACGCGTTGAAATAGACTGCAGATCCGCTTCGTCTCTGCTTTCGGTCATCTAACATAAAGTAGAGTAGCTAGATGTCAAGTTATTTGGATTAGTCGGAGCATCGTTACTTAATCAACAGAATCTAATGATCGTTTGGAACAGGAAAACAAGAATTCGATTATTACGAAATGATCAATAATTGTGTATCTTATATAATGAAATTTTTGTGCAAACAACAGGGAAGATGAAACAAGGAACTTGAGTGAACTATGTTAAAACTTCCATATTTATGGAGCCAGATCATTTAATCCCATGAAAATGAATAATTTGAAAATGATTTTGACAAACATGTTAAAATTGAAAGTTAACATCATGACCACATACTGATAATCTGTGAATATCACACTTTAGAAGATCATGGTTCACACGCATAAGGTAAAGCAAAAAAAAATAAGTTTTTGATGCTTGATGAGAATCAATTTTAAAGCAGTATCGAAGCTGTACTTAAGAATGGACTTTCGAATTGTTAGATAACTGATGAGCTAGATTGAATTTGTCGTCTAAATCAGTTGACGTGAGTGAGACCTTAATTTATTGGAAACCTTTGGGCAACACTAAAATGACCTTGAGATGTCTACCTACTTACTAGGGTTAAATCAGGGTTATAGCTTAGTGTGAGGAATTAAGATTAGAAGTTAGATTTAATGTTGTCATCACGAACCGACATAACCAATAATGCCAAAATAATATTTAACCATATGAGTGAATGAATTTCGCACCAAAATTAAAGACCTGCTATCTTAAATATGATTGGTTCGTCCTTAAATTATAGTTTCGCCGGGTAAGTGTACCTATGCACATTTAGTATGAATGTCTTTTAATAGAATAACTATAGATGATATAGTAAAGAAATGGATAATGGCTTAGAATGTCCAGAATAATATTCGGTGAACGGATATAATCTGTTAGAACTATTAACAATGATTGATTTTTTTCAATCACTTGTTTCTGGAAGATCTAACAACAGGTAAGCTTGTCTGTTGAGAACATATCAGAAATTCATAGGCGAATTCTTCATCTTTTTGTTAATTTCTTAATGTTTATTTGAATTAAGTCACTTGTGCAT